ATCTGTTACATACTCTTCAACGAATCGGGTATACCCTTTTATTCTACAAGTAACGGGTATAGTTAATCAGAAAGCCTAAAAAAAGTTTGATTAATTCAACAAAAATGCAGAAAATTGAATTGCAAATTTCATAAATATTTTCAATATTGCAAAAATTGTGAATACATAAAGATAATCCCATTGAAAACTTAACCTAAATAGAAGGTTTACATTTTCCTCTTTCCAGCGGACTGTGCTGAATGCTGTGAAAATTGCAAATAAATAGGGATCAGCCAGGGAAGACTGAGGACTGGAAAATCTGGAGCAGTTGCCGCGTTAAGGAAAATGCCAGGATGGAATTTTTCGCAGTTAAGTCGCGGGGCTTCTCGTAGAGCTGATGCTGCAGTTACTCGCCCACGACGTGGCCAAATGCAATTTGTTGGTCTTTGCAATTAAAATTATATGCGCCGGGTTTCCACGTCCGACCGTACAGAAAGCCGCTCCCCGCCCCTCTCTCAATTGACCTCTGAACTTTGCGCTAATTCGCCTTCTGTTCGCCGCGTTGGCAAAGCGGGAAAAAGAGAAAAACTTGCAGTTTTTCCTTCGCCGTGGGCGTTGTAGTCAAGTCCTATGCAAAGCGAAATTGCACGGGGCATTTAAGCAGCTTACGCTGGAGGAAAATAAGAAAACTGGGACTCTCTGAGAAGGGAATTTATGCTCGAACAAGCCGGAAAACTATGGCAAACAAGCACTGGGCATTCAGGGTGACACGCCCACCAGAATGCCTAATTAGGCAGAGGAAAAACAGTTTCATTTCCCATTTCATTTTTGCCATTTGCCATTTTCCATTTCGAATGCATCAAGTGCAGGGCCAGGAAAGGTCAGAGGGCACTGGTGCAGGCATCGTGCGTTGAATGGGTGACACATGATGGAATGCACTGACCTTTGACAGTCACAGAACAGTCCCACACACCCGACCCACGACTTTTGCCGCTTGATTAAGCTGACTCGATGCCCGAAAAAGTAGGCAACATTTCTGTGACTGCTGTGATTTCCACAAAAACCTTGTTAAACCCAACTCAAAGGCATCGATATGGCTCCAGAATAATAAATACTTTCACACAAGACATCTTGACATTGTGTTCTGACCCACTTACTTTGTCAATTATTCAGCAGGAGACAATGTTTGTAATTTAAATCTAAAGAGTAGTTTGAGAAATGTATTAAAAATAAATTGCATTTCTAAGAAAGGAAGATTCGCTTGTCTTTTTCTGTTGAAACACATTCCTGAAATGTGCAAACCTTCCTGCTAGTTTTTCTTCACATCTTCTCCTGCCATATAAGCTTTGGCATTTTTGTAAACGAACTTCGATCAGGTGCCCATCATCTGTCCATCCAACTATCTGTTCAAAAAAGAATTGCCAAACAATGCGATTTCTTTTCAAGGCATTTGATTGACATTTAGGAATGCCGTTCTTTGAAGAACTTGGGCTATTTGTTTGCCCCTCCTTAACCGAAAGTCCTTGGAAAAGGACCAAGTTTCGAGGGGAATTTGGGAAAGGGAAGGCAACTGGCAACTGGCAACTGGGTCTGGCCCGAAAAGAGCTATTAAAAGGGGAGCCGAGCACGGACTGACATGAAATTAATGATGACCAGACAGTGGATTTTTAATTTTGAAGGAGCCTAGCTTGGGCTTTAATATTAATGGCACTGACAGGACGCAGGGCATGCAGACACACGCACGTCAGGATAACGACTCTGCCGCTGACAGTAAGCCCACACTTTGATGGCTTTGTCATGAAAGACAGAAGGACGTGCCAGAAACAACAAAGCTACGATTGTGGCACAAGCTTTACCCTCTACCCTCTACTATTGGATATTTCATTATATGGAAATATATTTTGCAAAGAAATTGAAAAAGAAATTTGACTTTTTAAAGCATATTCTCAAACAGATGTATCATAAAATAAACAATTTAAGATTTTTTTCAATCAATTTGATTTCTTAAATATTTAATTACATATTTCAAACTCAAACAACTAAAAAAATAAATCATACTTTTTAACTTCTCCAAGGAATAAAATGTTCTTTGTGCCGGCATACCCTCGACGTCGCCAAGAAGTATGCAATACTTTGTGGCCAGTGCTTTTGCACACACGTGTGCCACACAGACGCATGAGCACTGGCACTCTCACAGGCGCACAGGGCTTTCCATTTGACCTCTGTTACTTTTACTGTCAACGGGGCGTTAAGTGCACGGTCGTATGTACTTTGGGGTGGACCTGCCCAATAAGCAGCCTTTCGAAAACCCATATGTCTCAGCTCCACGTTTGCACTTGTTGAACCAAAAATGAGGAGCCTTAAACCCAAACTAAAGGCATACATTTATGTTTGCTTTGACTATCAATTTGAGAAGTTCATTTTAAAAAGGGGTTTATTTTCAGAAAGTTTCTGTTCATTAATTCTCAAAAAAGGATTCAAATTAAGAAAGTTTCCAAAGAACTTTTCAAATAAAGTTGTTTATGTTTTGAAAGTTAAAACTTAATACTGAACTATTTCCTAAATTTATAGTTTTCCCTACATTTTACATTGCAATCAAACTTATAACATATGTAGTAATTAATATATTATATATAGCTTTAACTTCTTCATATATTTATGGATTAAAGACTGCCTTTGTGGTATTGAACTTTTAAATACTTTTACTCTTCCCATTTACTGTATAGCTTTTATGGCTAAATGCATATGGTCATCATTCCTTGGGGGCTCACTCTGATCTGCGACAATGGGCGTCATTGAGCCAGGACTTGGCCAAGTCAATCTCATCGAGGCCGCCTTGAGTCCACAAGCTCACGGGTCTTGGCTTTTAGCTAATGCCATAATTGAGCAATTGATGATGGCCACATCATCATCAGCATTGCCAGGCGATGGCCACGTCATCGGGAATAACGCGATGTGGGTGGTTGGGGAATGGGTGTGTGAGGGTCGGTCATGGGGGGCATGTGGCAAGGCAAGGCCGGCTTGCTAAAACATAAACAAACGCCCCCGCCTTGACTACGGCTCTTGGAATTGCCACATTTCGCTGCTACATCGATGCGGCCAATCGAGGTTCATTCATAAAAGTTTTACGCCCGTGCTCATCAGTCAGTGTTTGGGTGGGGGAGAAGAACCCCCGCTGCACTTCGATTCCAGGATGCCGGACTTTAGACTCCAGACTCCGGACATTGGCCAGAATGACCGGAGTGCAGATAGAACCACGGGAAGTCTGTCTGGCGCAGGAGATACCGATGGGAATCGAGCAGGAAACCAAACAGCAGCGGGCATTGCAAATATAATTCTTAGTAATTGTTTTTAAAAATCCATTTCGATATTTATTAAGAATTACTCTTTTTATAAAAGTAAATTATGTTTACTTTGATATCATTTTGAAAATGTTAATCTAGAATCTTCAGGCAAGTGGCAAGGGCCAAGGCCAAGCAGCAGCTAAAAATAAAGTCTATTAAATGAAAAAATAAAATTAAAGAAGCAATTAGGCAAGTGTACCTGTTGCCTTAATCAAATCAAGAGCACTCTCTGTGCTCCAGCCACTGGAAGATGGCTTATCCCAATGGCAAACAGATGAGCTAAGCAAAGAAAGGCGGGCCAGAGTAAATTGCTCGTCCAAGCTACACATTCGTGTCCTTGACTGTGTGTGTGTTTGTGTGTGTGTCTGCCTTTGCCACTTAAAGCAGTTTCATTGATTGCCAAGGATTAGGATTACCGGGAAATGCAGCACCCATAAACCCGTGCAGCCATACAGCCAACCACCCTTCGCCACCTGATAAAACCTGCACAAGTCCTGCACACCTGAATGAATTATATATGTACATATGGATATATATATATATATTTGCATAGAGCTTTCATCGCTTTAGCCGCTTCTAGTGGGCGGAGTCACGAAATTCTTGCGAAATTATAAAACATGAATAGCGATGCTCGAATGCAGGAATTATCTGGCTCTCACACGTGTGCACATATCCCACTAGGGTGTATCGCGAGTGCAGCTAACATTTTGGATTATCTATGATGTATTGTATTATAAAATAAGATATAAGGTTTAATCCTTGCTCAGCTGCCATGGTGGTTTTAATCAACTAACCCAAGGTTTGTTGAGGGCTACTCAAAGAAAGAAAATTCTTGAAAAGTCTAAGACTTAATTTGAAATTTTCTATCAAAGGTAATATTATATTTTGTATTGTGTTTATTATATTTTTATGTGGAAGTGTATTATATTTTATGAGTTATAATATTTAGTATTTTCAAATTAATTTATAATAAAGATTGTCTCAAAAATTAATATTTGCAGAGCTTGTTTATTATTATTTTTAGAGCTTATCTTCAGAGCTTACTTTTTTTCTTCAAAAACCAGCAATTCACAATAATTGCTAATTAATATATTTTATTTTTGTTAAAATATAGTTAAAGGCTTACAAATACTCTTGGCAAATAGCTCGCAATAAACTTTAACTACGTCTTTTTGGCAAAGAACAAACAATGCGTAGCACTCATACGCCCCGTTATCACTTTTATATGCAATTTTTCAATTTTCACTTCAAAATAATCAATTAAAAAATCTAAATTAAATATTTATACTTAAGAGGCTTTATAAAATGGCATGTTTACAAACTTTTGGACTTTTTGAATGCATTAAATGTTATTTGAAAGGAATTTTCCATGAAAACACAAGCAGATAAGCATAACAAAAGGAACTTAAGAGAGGAAAAATAAAAAAAATCGTTTATTTAATAACTTATTTTGTGAAACTGAGATTGAAAATTGGGAAAGAAAAATACTTTAGCGGAACGAGAGGATTTCGTAGCTGCTTAATCAGCGACTTTTACTACTTTTTTCCTCAAATAAAGTCAGTTTAAAAATGTATAAAAAGACACCCTTAGACACCCTGCTATGAAAACGGATGGTTTTCGTGCGTTTTCGGTTGGACATTGAGTGGCAAGGGGACAGGGGGTGATCACTTTTATTACCTGCACTGGTTTGCACCATTTCGTACGCGTAGCGTAGCGTTTCTGGGTGCGCGTGGGCGTGTGTTTGGGGCTTGCGGAGATTGCCCAAAGCTTTTCGCCGTAATTCCGTTCCTCTTCACGCGCGCGTAAAATGTATTTCGAAAATTTGTATTTGTTTTGCGTATGCCGACGCCAGCAAAGCGCCAAAAGACGCCAGCAGAGAGCAAAGTGTCGCCTGTGGCAGCGTGCGTTTTCCTTGCTTTCCTTGCTTTTCCTCGATTTTTCCTTGCTTTTCCGCTTGCCCAACTAGTTGCTGTTGCTGCTACTGCTGCTGATGTTGCTGTCCTTTATAAATAATTTGGCTGCCGCCGCAGGGGGTGGGGCAAAGACGTTTGCCTCCCGCTCGCCCATCGGACGACTCACTTTCCCACTGACGCACTAACTCACTGACTCACTGACCAACTGAACTAACTGGCTAGCCAGAGAGCTCAGAAGTTAGTAAACTAAAGAACCAAAAAAAAAAAGTAGGGCCAGACACTCGGCAGCAAGTCGGAGGCTTTTCCAGATTTTCCAGGAAGAGCGCGTCGTGTGCACGCGACCAACTTCGCAGCGAAACTGAAGCGGAAACTGAAACTGAAATCGAAATGAAAGCCGAAATGGAAGACGGCAACATCGGCGGCAGCAACATGAGACCGAGCATCAGGCAACATCAGTGCGGCCAACAGGAGCTGCAACTTACAGAAGGTTTAGCTTGGGGTAAGAACTAAACAAATTGCTGAAATATTAAATAAAAAATTAAACATGGCATGAGAAATATTATACAGAAATCTCAAAGGGACCTCTATTTGTTAATAAATCAGATTTTTAAATATTTTTATAATATTTATTGTAAGATAATATATATAGCTAAACTTATTTTATATTATTTTAAACTTAATTTACAGGTATATCTACTTTTGATTATTATTTAATTACCCTTTCCTAGTGAAAAATATCAGTTCTTGGAGTGATTTTTCCATTTTTATTGCTTTTCCCAAAGAAAGTATATAATTTCCGCTAAAATCCTGGCACCACTGATGTAACAGGGTTCCCAACAACAACAACAAGAACAATACCAACAGCCACAGCAGCAGCAGCAACATGTATGTACATGCACAGCAGCAACATGTACAACAGCAACATCAACAGTAACACAACGCGAAGCTTACGAGCATATCCCCTCACACTTTCCGCAACTCTGCCTCTCTCCATCGCACCTTTCCCGTTACTTCTCGTTTTTGGGAGCTTTTCGCACTTCGCCCGTCTCGCTCACACTTCGAGCCGCCACACACATACGCACATGCGTACAGTGGAGGTTGAAATAAAAAGATTATTGTTAAATTTTAATTAACTAAAAGTTTTATAATCTGCAATATCTCCTTTGATATCTGCAACGTGGAAAGATCAAAACGATATGCTTAAGATCACTAATAGTATGACCGCAGCTGTGGCCACAACTGTGAATGTAAATTCCTTAAAGAAAAGATCCAATCTAAAGGAATACTGATAAAGTGAACTTCAACATTAGCGGACTTCTGGGTTTCCAGGATTATGATTAAATATAACTTCAGCATGTCAATAGACCTATTGCTATGCCCGCTGCTGTGCGCCCGTGCGTGTATGTGAGCTGGCAGTTTGCTGACGTCGAAGTCGCTGGCTGTGTGGCGCAAAATCCAGCCACAAGCAACAGGACAGCATGCCAAAAAATGCCCTGCTGAGCGCCGCACCACCAGCCCTCCACCACACTCTCGCGCTGCCCCTTCCACTCTCCCTTTTCCCCACATAGTTCTAGGAACCCCCTACCACAAAAAAAAAAAAAAAAAAAAAACAAACACCCCCACCATGCACACAAGTCTGCCCCAAATTTGGATGAAAACATTTCGGTGTAATTCGTGGCCCGCTGTTGCTTCGCATTGAGTTTGCGCCCTGGCCATGTAACCCGCAACCTTCCACCCTGCACCACCCTAAGACTAGCGTAAACCACCCTAAGCCACCCAGCGCCACCCTGCGCCACCGCCACCCGTCGATGGAGCCATTAGAGTGCTTAACATAACCTGCTCACTGCGGATTCGTGTGTACCGAAATATTCTTCAATTATGGTCTCAGGTGCAGGCGAAGCGAATTTCAATGTTGGCTAAGCGGGAATCCTGGCCAGCATTCTTTGCTAGGGCACGGGCATCCAGCTGTGCAGCACAAATATTTCCGCACTGCAGGCAAAAGGAAGGCAAATGGATGCGGGACGCAGAACGGGAGCTGCTTTCCAGGGGGGATTTGGCAAATAAATGGAACGCCGCATTTTTAGGAACTTCCAAATGACCTCACAAATGGCAAACTATGCCATTTCTGTAGCCCAGATGCGAGGGACTTTATGGTATAAACAAAGAAATGGTTTTAGCATCAAGCTTTTGTTGTGGTTGCAAAACTGAATACCTTTTTACCATCAAATGGAATTCAAATTACAACAATTACAAAACAACAACAAGAAGAGGGGATAGTAAAGATGTAGACTATAAGATATCCATTATTCTATTTACTAATTAAAAATAAATATGATAACTGTACATGATTCCTTGTAATGGAAAGTAATGTGTATGGGCTATGTATTGTGTTACTAGCGCCATCTATTTTTGAGACTTGCGTGGGCGTAGGAGTAAGCGCGGTTAACTTGTAATCTCAACTTTTATAAATCTCTAAAAGTTCCTGAGATCACGATGTTCATAGAGACAAACGAACAGACATAGGGTATTACTAAATCAGCATGTTTTGTGATCCTGATCAGGATTATATTCACATAATAGGATCGGAAATGCCATCTTTTACCTTTTATTGCAACTTTGCAACAAGGAAAGTACACCACATTAATCTACGATTAAAGGGGGCACACTGTGGCCTAGTGAGAGAAAGAGAGAGTCGTTGCCGAACTCAGTTTATCGTTTTAAAGACCATTTGTGATAGCAGATAAATTATAGCTCCCATAAAGGACCCATTATGAGATCAAACTTAAGCGCTTTTATCAAGAAGAAATAAGGAAATCGTCTCAAATAGACTTGGTTGTTACTCAAACAAGTTTGGACCTTAAAACTTCAGATTTTTTAGATCAGATGTTTAATATATTTTTATGATTATAGTAAATAATAGTATAATATAGTGAAATTAAAAGCAAAATAAATCAAAGTAAATCTGAAATGCAAAAGCACGAGAAAATACGCAGATTGTCTTCTTGTAAACATTTTACATAATTCCTTTTATTTTGTTATCGTCGACATGTTTTTGGTAAATTATACATTGATCTATGGTATTTTTTTTGTTTTTGAGGCCTTCATGTAGATTCATTCGGAACATAGGATATTCGTAATATTCATGCGTATGCTATATGTGGTTACAATCGTGGGTAACGTAATATTCTATATGCTCGGGCTCTATAGGTGGCGTCTCTACACAGACGGGTATAAACAGCTTAGCTTGATTACGATACATAATATATTATATATATATAGCGAGAGTTCCTGCCTTGCTCTTCGGGTTTTGAATTCTTTTTTTTTTTTTCGATTTTTATTGTAGTGGTGGATCAGAAGATCTTCTGTCTAATATTTGTATCAAAAGTGTGGCCAAAATTTTGGTTGGACTCGACTGACTTTCTTTATCCCCCTCTTTGTCCCCAGCCAAGTGTAAAATATATCCTCCTCTCGCTCTCGTTCGCCATCTCATTCTGTTGCCTGCCGTCTCCTTCTCTTTCGTTATGTGTATATATATATGTATATATGTATACGTTTTAGCGCTTACAAAAATATCAATATTCAAAGAAGCAACAAGAAATCACATTAAGTATTTTTTTGGTTTTTCGATTTTCCAAGTGGTTTGTTTTTTTTTCCATACACAAAAAGCGTGCTACTCGCATTAACTTAGTTAGTTTCCACACAAAGTGTTTGCTCTATATAGTTCTATATAATATAAGTTGTATATAAGCCCAGTGGAGGGATTTTTGGTGCGCCTGCACTTACCAAAAAACAACGAAAAACCAGATAGAAACTAGGTAGTTTTGCCTGAGAATAGCAACGAATCGGTTTCGATTATAACAATACACGGCTAACGGTAACACATTCCGTTCTCTATAACTATGTTGGGTTAATATTTGTATAAATATTAGTTTCATACATACTCGTACTCTATATACTATATATATATATATTTTTGGGTTGCATATTAATTCTGCTAATACAAACAAACTCAACGTTTCGCAGCCGTCAACAACAATTTCGTAACATTTTTCTGGGTTTTTTGTGTTTGTGAGTGTGAGTGTGAGTGTTGGCAATTGTTCGATTTACCTATTGAGGAGATATAGCCCCAGGATCCACCTGTCGGGCGGCAACTCGAGTACAAAATGTTCTCTCAACGCTTGCAGCTACAAATCAAAAATAAAGGAGAAAACCATATCTACCAAGCGAACAATTGCAATTTTTCGTTCAGGTTATAGGCAATGGAAAGCTCTTGAGATTTCAAATCTTTTTGAATTCATTGCTTACAGTTTTTGAAGCTAAAACTCACTGGGAATTATAGGAGATTTGAAATCTCCTGAATAGATTTGAAACATCCTGGAGTGGTCATAATAAAAAAATCTTACAAATCTTCACAGATTGAGGGAGAAATTAAGTTTCCTAAAACTTTTAACATGAAAAACTGGACACTTTCTGAAATCATTGCATACAGAGCAAGGACATTTCAGGAGATTTCAAATCTCCTAATTTAGCTTTTTCTTATCAAAGTGGTTTCTCGTTTTGCAAAATAATTTCTTAAGTAATATCATTTGTATAAAAACTTTAAATCGCTTTCCCATCTCAAGAATCTTATTCCATAGAGCTAACCACTCACTCCTAGAGCTTTCTATGCCTGCCCCTGAACATCTTTTCGATACAGGTGTATGTATATAATATATATATATCTGATTATTTGCCAAATCGATAACATAACATTAACAACAGTTGGCCGCAGTCGCAGCCGCACAGCATTGCCATATATAGACGATATCTAATACAATATCCATATATGAACGTGATCCACTTCCTGATTCCCTATCGAATATACAAAACGTATAAATATGCAACTGCCTGTATATAATATAATCGGTATATATGCATGTATATTGTATAAGTATAAATAGTTTATCTTTTACGTTGTTCGATTTCCACTTGATTTTCTCTCAAATTTTCTTTTGTTTTTTTCAGGTCACTACAATTTCCTTAATTTTGTTAAATTTTCTTTAAGCGATTCCCAGCCGTTTCCAAAAAAAAACCATTGCGGATTACGGGAAGCCTCCCAAAAACCCTCAGCAAGAGCCTCAGCTAATTGCAATCTCTACGGGGGTTAGGTATGCTATATGGTATATGCTATATATATGGTATATGGTATATGGTATATGGTATATGGTTGGTTATGTAATCCCTAAGCGCTTTCTAACTTCGATTCTACGTTTCTATGGCCTAGGTGCTAGCTACTTAGTACATCGCTTGCTCAATACTGATCGGGAACTGAGGTCTCCAGGAACTGACGACGGATGACTGATGACTGACGATGGCTCTCATATATCTTCACCCTCTTCCTCTCCTGCTCCTTCTCTTTCTCCTTCTCCCACCGATTACTTGTTTTCGATGATCGTCTGAAGCTGGAGAACGAGGTTTCTCGAAAGCTGAAGGATCGACTGAGCGTTGTGACGCTCCGCCATTTCTGAAAATAATAATCAATACATGTTTATCTTAATAAGATATCCTATCAATATTAACCAACCATTGAAGAACTTGATGACATCGGTGAAGTCCATGCTGTTTGAGAGGATGATGTCGCGATAGGTCTCCAGCAGGGCCAGGGCCAGAAAGAGGACGAAGTGGCCGGAGGCAATGTGCTTGGCCGCCCAGATCACCTCCCAGGTGGCGAAGACGTCGTCGTAGACGAGTTCCCTCTTGAAGTCCAGCAGGAACCACCGGTAGCAGAAGTAGAAGTGCGTGTAGTCGCCATTCGAGTCCATCAGATCGTACATCTCTGAGTCCAGGATCTGGATGAGGGATCTAAAGGGATCACAGGATTAGCAATGGAACCCATCATAACCCTAAACACTCACCTCATGTTGGCAAAGTGCATGTCCATGGCTCCGCCACTGGGGAAGTTCTCGATCATGCGCTCCATGAGCTTGCAGAAGCAGCTGTAGCTGAGCGACTCGTCGTCGAAGATGACCAGGAGGGGAGCCACCAGGTCGCACATGCCCTGCATGTAGCCCACGTCCAGGTGCTCCCACACGTACGTGGAAATCACATTCCTCAACTTGTCTAGGTTTTCATTCGCAAAGTACCAGTAGTTCCTGTCGCACCGCTGCACATCCTTCTCGATCCGGTGGAGATTCAGGCCGAACTGCTCCAGGAGCTCCACACTGTAGACACCACCATTGGAGCTGGCTGGCGAGACGCAGGCAGACTTGGGCTCCTGCAGAGCATCCAGCGATGCGACCACCGTGATATCCTCGTTGAGGGGTGACATCAGGCTGGTTTTTCTTGAGGTAAACTCCTCGGTGGGATCGTCGTCCAGAGCGTCCAGCGAAGCCGCCTCTGTTATTATCACCGCAGTGGCCGGCTGCGATGTCTCCTCCTCTTCCTGGTTGTCCAACCTCACATCGTCGGCGCTGTGGAACTTGCTGAGCTGTCCTGGAGGCTCTTCCTCCTCCAGCTTGGCCTCCACCATGTCCACGAACTCGTTGCCCACCGTCTCGTAGCTGCTCGTCGAGGGGGAACTCTTGATGCTCAGCATCAGGATATTGCCGCTGCCATCCAGACCCAATCCCAGATCATTCTCCGTCTCGGAATCAGCGAAACAGTTCTCCTGGAGACGCAGCGGTTCCATGTTATCGATGTTCTGGAACTCCAGGACCAGTTGCTCGCTGAGTTGCGGAATTTCGCGTTCCTCCTGCTCATCCTGCTTTGCCAAGACCTCCTCCTCCTCCTCTGGATTATTTTGCTCCTGCTCTTCGGCTTCCTGGCCCAATTCCGCTTCGTCGAACAAGTCTCCTGGATCAGATATATCCGAAAAGTCATTGTCATCGAATACATCGTTCTCTCCCTCATCCAAGATCAAATGTTCCTCATCCTGATCCTCTTCGCCATTCCTTTGCTCCAATTCCATTTGGCGAACGCCGTTGGTGAGTTTCTGTTGGGGATTCGTCGAGTTCGAAGCATTGGCCGCCAGGCGAGCCTGCTCGGCACTCAATTTGGCCACGGCCAAAGCCGTTTTCTCCTTCTCCCGCTGACGGACGATGGCCTCCACGGCCAGCCATTCGCTCATCGTCGTCTCGTAGTAGTGCTTGCAAGTCTCGTCCTGCTTTTTCCGTTCCTCTGGCGTCGAGCCAAAGGCATAGTGCCCCAGCAGATAGGGCCACACATCCTTGCGCAGATCGGGTTCCACGCCGCCAAAATACACCAGGCGATAGAGCTCCAGTTCACCGGTGACAACGCCATCCTCGTGCATAGCCAACCACTTTTCCCGGGACAGACCCTCCTCATCCGCAGCCACTGGTGGCAAAAAGATAAGGATTAGGTGGAAGAATATAAAAGGGAACTTAAACTCACGATCAGGCATGATGCGACCGTTGACCAGGCCGGAGAGATGAGTGCGCACCGTGGAGAGGTGGCGGCAGTAGGCCAGCCAGCCGTAGAAGGCCCTCGAGATGATCTGCCTGCGCATCGTGGAGCAGACCAGTTCGATACTGGTGCTCTGGCTGGCCTGGATCAGTGGCGTTTCGCAGCTGCTCTGGTCGATGGAGAGGCTCTTGCTGGAGCAGTCGCTACTGCCGGTGGTGGAACAGCTGCCCAGGTGCTTCCTCCGCGGACTCGATCGCCCCAACTCTAGGATGGGATGACTGGCCACTGGAAAATACAATGCAAGATGATATCATGGGAGTAACTGTCTCCTGCGGCCACTTACAGAACTCCTCGTGCTGACATTTGCTGACCACTCGGAACACATAGTCGATGGGGGTCTCGTCGACCACAGAGCCTCCGGCCTCCATCACCGAGGGCAGGATGTGTCTCCGCACACTCTTTGGCCAAGGGAACAACTTGCCAATGCCCCGCTGCGACCACAAGGGCGGATCCAATTGGCCATGTGGCAGAAGACCCGTTTCCAAGCAGCTGAGAAAAGCCTGTAGGTGTCCGCCCTCGGGGAAATGAATGGGCGGTCGCTGGACGCCATCCTGACCCACCAGGATAATGGTGCCACCAGTGTCTCCGCCACGATTCTGGTGGCAGTGCACATAGACGATCTCGTCCACGTTGATATTCAGGGCGTAGCTCCAATAGAAGCTCTTGTCGCCGCCATCGCCGTCATTATAGCCATTCATCAGCTGGTTGGGTGTCCACTTGATCGTCAGAGACTGGATACTCTGGTGCAGGCTAAGGTATCCTGGCATAGGTTCCGAAACATCCTTGGGCAGGACCAGTACGTTGTTCTTTCCGTAGAGCAGCGTGGTGCGGGAGTTCTGATGTAGCGACTCCACATAGTCTTTGGCCACACTCGCCGGCGAGCAGGCCTTGAAGGAGCCACTGCTCGTGTCCTCCGAACTGGTGTGCAGGCTGCGCTTGAAGTTTATGATGGGCCGGTGGGTGGTGGGCGGTGTCCGGTTGCCTGAGCTGATCCTGTGTCGTTGCACCTAGTCGGGGGGTGGGAAATAAGGGATGTTAGTACCATATTCATGTAAGGGCAAAACATCATGAAAAGCGATTTTCTTTTAAAGAAATCAAAAATTAATTAACTTATCAACTTTTTAGTATTTTTCTTCTTTAAATATATTTTTAAAAATTATAAAAAATTAATAAATTAAAAACAAGAATGCCAAGTTTGCTCACCAGCTCATCGGCACAGGGATCGGACCAGTAGTGGTCGGCAGTCTTGGCCCGGGTGAACTCGAGCGCACAAGGACCCACCAGCAGGGAGCTCAGAATGGAGCCGTAGTCCGGATCGGCGACCAGCGCCTCGCGATCGTAGTAGTTGCTGGCATTGCTCACCAAATGCTCGATTATCTTGGCCAGTCGTTTCTCATGCAGGGCCAGACGGATCCACAGGTACTTGCCAAGTGGGGCAATAGCCCCGCCTCCGGAGCCCGTTCCCGCCCCGTTGGATACCGTGTTGATGGTGGTCACAGAGCTGCTGCTACCACTGCCTTTGCTCAATAGTTTTGGCTTGATAATGCTGTCGCTGCTGGAGGAGGATCGCTTGCCGCTCACCGCATGCGACTCCTGGGCGAGTTCCAGTTCGAGAAGTCGCCGGCTAACGTAGTCCGCCTCTGGGCAGATCTTGGCTATCTTTTGGATCAGCGCCGTGGTCGAGGAGGTCTTGAACAATCCCAGAGCCCTCCGGCGTAGGCCATGACTCAGGCAAGCCTCCACAGCGCCGCAAAGCGAGGTCACTGAGCTGCTCTCTTCGTGGACATACTTCTTGGTCACCGCCTCCTCCATCAGCTGCTTCACCTCTTTCTTCACGCTGGCTATTAGCCGCTCTTTCAGTTCAATCTCCGCTGGAAGGGGGACAATTACAAAAATCTTATTAAGTTTTCAGACTTTTAATATTAATATTATTTATCATATTTTTACAAAAACCTGGCCAGGGCTTACAGAAATTTGACTTTCAGCTGGAGAAAGGGTAGTCCAAGTCCAAGAGAAACATCTTCTTTTCTTCTTAAAACGAATAAAAGTAAATAAAACAAAGATCCCAATCATATTCCATTATTTGTTTACATTAAAGTCAAAATGTCTAGAGAAATGCAAAAGGGTTGACGAAGGAAGGAAGGAGCATCTTGTCCACGTAATTGGAAGTTACTTATTTGCCTTCGTGCGGTTATTGATAATCCCTGGACCTCTCCTAACGACCGACATGACACTTCCACGCCCATTTCCTTTTTATTTCCCCACAGAGCACTCGTAACGGAGCCCTCCCCCGATAAATATGCTTTGATTGATAGCACATGCCGCCGTGCCACCCCCACCTGAAACCTCCAATGTCCTTGGTCTCACAGTTCCTAGTGCCCAATGGCGTGGCCCCACAAACTCGTCTGGGATTGCGTTTGCGTTTCGGAGTCCGCCGACCGACGTCAATCATTTTGTCATCGCTGTCAATTTTTGTTTCGTTTGCTTCTGTGCACAAAGTCGTCGTCCCTATGCCTCACTGAAACCCATAAAAACCAACATTTATGGAAGCGCACGGTGCGTATGCGTAATGTGTACATATTCCGATCAAGAGGGCATTAAATATTTAAATATTTGATTACTGATAAAGAGAATATTAATTTTAAATTCAATTTAAATAAATATTTAAACTAAATATCTGTTTTATCAAATTATATGGCAAGTTGCTCTTAACAATGAGTTTTCTAATTTAAATCTTCAATGAAAACCTTTAAAATTCTATTAAATATTTTGTTAATAAATGAAAATTGAATATTTCAGCTCTTAATAAAAGCAAAAGGCAAGTTTGTCAAGGAACTTGCTAACCTGTTGCACATAGAAATTAAATTCCAGTGCCTAATACAAAATACAAATTAGAGAGAATCTTCAAGCAGGACTACTCATTTTCTTTGGTGTTTCCTTACAGTACTAGAACTTCCACACACACACACACACACACACACATATACACACTGTACACGCATGTAAATGCCCCGGCATTGTTCTATATACAAATATGCTAATAGGATAAAACGACCACGAAGTGTGGATGCCCGGGGGGGGGCTGGCAGAGGAGCTGAGTGGTGGGAAGACGTAGGGCCGGGCGCGCTTCTAATTAGAATGGAAATAAAGGATTTACGCCGCTACGTGACATGGCCCGCCAATGTCCAGGACCCGGGACTTGAGAGCCAGGACACGGGATCCGGGTCTTGTGGCACAAGCAGGACCAAAATCGATAAGGGAAACTTTTCAAGAAATTGCAACAGTTCTGTAAACAGTGAAAAGCGGCAACGGTGCAGCCTCACAAATCAATCACTTAAGTTAGGGGAGAAAATAAACAGTTTTAATATTAATTAATTAATTATTTTATTTTATATAAACAGTAACTTGATGAGTTTTGATACTGAAAAATGTATTACTTAACAAAACAGTTTCCTTTAAATGTATTTGAAAATTGGAAAATATTTAAATATTGTTAAAATTTATGTTTAAAATATGTTTTGGCATTTATTAATTTTACGAAAATATATTTACGTAATTGAAATATTTAAGAACCTTAATAATTTTACCAATTTGATTCACATAATTCAGAAACATTTTTTAAATATAAAATTTGAGGTTGAAATGAATGTGAAAATAGTTGTTTCGTTCATAAAAGTGCCATAACTTTATAATAAAAATTCTACTGACTAAAAAACTTAAAAAAAAAGTCTATAAATATTTGCAATAAATAGCACTTTTGAAATAGAAAAGGTTATATGGATAAAAATATTGAAATTTTTGTTTACATTTATCCAAGTTCCATTACCTTTCATGGTAAATATTAATTAATATTTCTTTCCTAAATTATTTCAAATTCGTTATTAAATTTAACATTTATCTATATGGTATTGGTATAAAAACACCCATTTTGCCTTTAAAAACTTTAAAACTTTCGAACATACCGCACTTTGCCTGTAGAAACCACATTGGAAATGCGCGAGGAGGCGGCAGGAAAATGCGAAGTGCATTCGGGCACATCGACACATGCACTAAGTTGTTTATTTTCAATTCCCGCTGCAATTTGAGTGAAACATTGCGATAAACAAGGCTGTGTGTGTGTGTGCGTGTGTGTCTGTGCCTGTGGCTGAGCGTGGAGGTGCTGAGTGCAGCTGTGTGTGTGTGTAGTAACCTTGACTCGATGCTAAAAAACTTCCTTGAATTCTAACCTACAACAACAGAGCGAGACGAAAGAGGGTAAGAGAGAGGAAGGGAGAGGGCAACACCTGCGACGCTACCAATACACACACACACACACTAACAGTGGCACACGCACACACTTGACCCTGAACAACATAAAACAGCTGATGACAGGACGAAGGGCAAAACGAGATGGCAAATGAGACGCTGAAAGGCGGTGACTCGCTCTCTCACTCTCTCTCTCTCTCTCTCCCTCTCTTCCTTTGTGCGCTCTCTTTTCGTTCAGAGAGGGATGGCCAATGTAAGGATGTGTGTGAGCACCCTCTTTAATTTGCCAGTAACACAATAACAAAAACGACGACATGGGAGGGTCCCTCACACACACACACACACTCACACATATCATTAAATCCCATGCCAGGGCAGCCATATTGCTCAAACATATGTTTGTTACCGTTACCCAACAAAAGACGCAACACACACGTTTGCCAGCATGTGTGTGTGTGTACACAGGAAAAAAGCAAAAAATAATAACAGGATCGTAATGGGATTTCTTAAGGACTTTAGCATTGCGAATACTAAACCTTAGTGTGTAAGACTAAAAAACGAATTAATTTTTTATCAAATCTTGCACATATATATTATATATTGCGTTTGCGAGGAGTGCATTAATTATATTAAATAATAATGATAATAAAATGCAACAGTGCGTATACTTCATAAATTATTACGCACACGTAGCGCTGCAAAGTATGCTATGATTTGTGTATTCCGAAATGACATCTTAATAATATCATAAATATTAGAACGACTTATTAATGGGCAGTCTGAAGGTGCACTGAAAATAAATGTTAATACACTACATCAAAATATTTTAAATAGATATTTGCGTTATCGAATACTATTATGTTTCCGTATTAAATCCTCAACACTTAACTTTGATCGATTGCGATATTATCCCTTACATAGCAAGGCAAACCATTCTAAATCTCCTTCGGTAATGCATTTCCGCCCAGTGTCTCTGGCTGGTAGGGGAATTTCTGAGCAGCAGTGAATGGTAAACGTGAGAAAAGAAACCCGGACATTGTGCGCGCTTCTCTGATTACATTAATTGCCGGGCAATTTGATGACTTTCAAATGAGAGGGCAGCCCGTAAGAGGGGGCGTGGCGTCCGTAGAACTAACCGAGCGTAATCGCATCGAACGACGTAATGCAATTACCGGTTCCGTCCGGCACTAACGGTCGCCATATATACAATATGTACACGCTATATGCTCTATATGGCCAATTAGCTGCGCAGGAAGGTAAGGGCAGGATGGGAAGCGAAGACAAACAGCAGATTAATGCCAAATTGACCTATTGGCCGTGAACTTTACATTTCGCATGGTCAGGGTAATACCACCTAATTGGCATTGGTCGTGGGAGTGGGACTGCGGTCGATGGTCTGTGCTCTGTACTTTGTATTCGGTGCTCGAACACCGAGCAATTCAATCGATTCAAGCAATTACAGCAGCTTTACCTGTGATCCCTTGCGAATGCAATCTGCTGTCCAGCAACGATTTGCCTTTTTAATTAATATCCCGCCACAGGCAGTTGCGGTCAGAGATTTTCTCAATTTCCGGGCATAAAAAATATCGAAAGGGATTACCGGAAAATGTCAAACGCCAACTCCTCTCTGTGATGGCAATGAACAGGGGAACTTTAATTCAACTTAAGTCAATTGAAAACAGCTGTAGACCTACTTAGTGCGTTGTACTACCAACTACCAGCTACGCAACTTTCATAACTCGTTGGATAATATATAAATTATGTCTTTATGTACTCAATAATTCGATCAAACAAAGTAAATAATATTCCCAATTTGAATCCATGAAAAACTTCTGTGATGTATCGCCACTCAAGTTAACTCAATCGAAGAGTATTATTCAAAAAGTTCGAGTCCAAGGAGCTGGCATTAATATACATGTGCGTGTGTACATGTCTATCCGAATATTTCCCCAGATTCCGGATACCATACTCCATATACGAGTATAACACCACCCCGTCGGGTTCATTGAAGCAATTACAAAAAGTTTCGCTACCCTAACCTTTCAATATACAGTGATCTATAAAAGAATTCTTTGAAAATTAAATCTTAATTAGTTTTCTATCTGTATAAAGTTTTCTGATTAAAAATTTAACTTTATTATTGTTGGAAGATGAATTATTTAAAAAACTTTCTTGAAGTTAAGCCAAAATCAATACAATAAATAAAATGTTAACTTAATAAATACTTTTAAAAACAATTTTAAAATTATAATAAAAATCGATCTAAAAAGCTTTGCACATATTTAGTTTCCCTTAAAATGAGTGCCCACTGTATCATATATTTTTTCTTTTTGCTCTCCTTTTTTCTTTATTTTCTTGCAGAAACGACGCCAAATCATTTCACTTTCGCACCTTCTACGCATCAACGTTAAGAACAACAACAAAGAACACACTCACACACAGACAAAAGTTTTGGCATTTCGGGATTTGTGTATATGTGTGTGTATGCATGATATGTAATTGGTATTTGCCACTGTTGTTGTTGCCAAAAATGTACACAGAAAAAAATTCAGTATCAATATATATATATATGCCTCCATATTTCTTTGAAACGAGTAAAGTGACCGAAACGTTATCAACAAGAATAGAAAAATACATTTATTTTTTAATAGTTATTCAATAATTTTCAAATCCTAGGTATTCATCTTTTACACCATATAATCTGATTTTCCGCACATAAATAAAATACTTAATCATTCAAAATTTCTCTCTGTGTGAAGGACGGAAAGAGAAGGGCCGAATACAATAACTGTTTCTCACTCACCGCTGCTGGCGTCGCCTGTGGCGTTGGCAGCGCTGCTGGCGCCGCCGCCGCTGAAACTGTGTAGCATGTTCATTTGTATTGGTGGATGATGGACACTCTCTCTCTCGCTCTCGTTTCTTTTTATTTTTTGTGGTATATTTCTTGGGGCAAATTGTTTCTCTCTCTCTGCCAGCTGCTTGTTTCCTTTAGCTTTTCTTTTGTGTTTTTTTCCTACTTTTCCTTTTGTTTCTCTCCTCCTTCTTCTTCTTCCGATTTTTTGTTAACAAAAACTGTGGTATCAAAATTTTCTTAGATTCGTTGTCTCATTTTTTTCTGGGGTTTTTTTTGTTGTGTTGTAGTTGTTGTTTTGCTACATTTTTACTACTACGCACGCACACACACCCGCACACTCACACACACTTATATAACAACAACAGAGTGTGTGTGTGATGATGCTGCTGCTTTGTTGTTGTTGTCGTTTCCTCTTTTTTGGTAGTAGTTATTCACATTTTTGCTGCATACTTTTCGGCTGCTCCTCTCTTTGGGCTTCAGTGCGTTTGTGTGCTGGTGATGCGGTTTTTAATTGTTATTATTTTGCATATTATATTGTTCCTCTTCTGCTCTTTGTTTATATTTGATTATATTTCTTATTGTGTCGTTTATTGTTTTTCCGCCACACAGCAGCTTTTCTGCTCTGCTCGCCAGTGTGACCGCGATTGGACTCTGTTCTGCCGGCGTCGCTGCCACAGTCCACTTCGCTGCTTTGCGCTGCCCGTCAATCGACGCAACAGCAGGATTGTCCATTTATCGATAGACAAGCAATCCGACACTAGGGTTGTCAGTCCGTCCGTCGGACATCTGCAGTCAAAATATATTTTTGCACATTAGTAGGTACCCTTATGAATCATCTCTAAAAAAAAAAAGGTTTTTAATGACAAGTTTTTAAGTTATAAGACATAAAATATATTTAAAAGTAAAAAGAAGGGAAATAAGAGGATATTATATTTCGTATTAAAAAGCTTTCCTTGCATTTATGACAACCCTGCTAGGAACCTAATTGAGTGATGGGCGCCTGATTCAAAGTGACATTTACCAACCCCACATTCGAAACTCGATTTCCCTCCCCAAAAACTCTAGTATAGACAAATTGATTTGATTGTGTTTATTTTTCAATTAAGGCCTTTCAAAGGCTTAAGAAACTGGCAAGAGGTATCCGGTTACGTTGAGCTTAAACTATGCGTGAATGTTTGTGCATGATTGTTAAAGTTTTCTCTTTATAAAACTAACATTAAGTATAAGCAAAATGAAAGCTGACTAAATAAAAAATAACATTTAAGATTATGCTGGTATGGTGGAGAGTTAAGTATTTAAGTCAGAAAATATGTCCTTAAGCTAAAATAATTTGCTTAAAAAGATATTTAAAAATGATTTGAGAACTATAAAATACATATAGTCAACTAACCGATTGGACAAATGAAGATGTGATGTGAGAAGGGCTTACTCCACCAGGACAATGTCGCCGCAGGTCATGTGCTGGTCTTTGCCCTCCAAATTGTTCGTGTCCTGAGGAATTCTAGTGATGTAAATTCCGAATCTCATGCGACCCTTTTGAAGGCGGGATATTGTGGTTAAGGTTTCCGGCGATCGTTCGCCGGTCCTTTGGTTAATGCAGATCATATCACAGCGCTGGCAGGGACCTTCCACCTGAAAGTGGATGCCGCCGATGGACAGTGCCTTGTAGGCCAGCTCCTCGAAAGCACAGCCCGTATCGATGATAATATTGGCCCGAAAACGATCCACAGTCTCGTCCAAAGGCTCCTCGAATTGAAGGGATCGCACGGAAGATTTGTTAAGCAGCAAGAACTGAGCTTGATTCACCAGACTTAGCTTCTGCTGATCCTTGGAAGAGTTTCTCTGGCCCGATTGTCGCAGTAATCGGAGGCCCTCTAAGCCCAGATTTTGGCTCAACCACTGGGCAACCTCGTCGCCACAATCTAATCCTTCCACTGGCTGACGGCACACTTTGCTGACGCATTTCGCCGAGTCTGCTGCCTGATCCTCCAGAGAAAGTGGCACTGACACAGAGGAATCGTCTCCGAACCGCAGCTCCAATTGGTTCGACCTTATCACAGGCTTTATCAGGCACAGTTCCGTGCAGCGTTTCTGAGTCAACGCCATGCCATTCATGTCCACAATCATCCACTCGCGGTCATATTTCAGACCCTGATCCGTCAGAGGCCATGAGCCCTGCGTTTCGATCTTGAAAGCGGCACAGGACTTCACCGGAAATATAGCCATTTGGAGTAGTTTTGGCCTTAACAGCTGGACTCTCTCCTTTAGCAATGGTGGCAGTTGCTCCGCCTGATCTTCGATGAATTGTATCCTCTGCTGCGGCTTGGTGGCCAAATAACTAGAGCGCAGCATCTTAAGAAACTCCTCCACGTCGCGGATGGTGGTCATGTAGCCAAAAGATACACGTACCGCTCCCGTCGGCTGACCATCGATCAGGTCAAAGTAGTCACCGCATATGCGACCCGCTCGCTTGTAAATCGCATCCATGGCATCTTCATCGAGATTTAGGTAAAACTGACAGGCACCGATGTTGCAAAAACATCCTGTTCGCAGGAGAATCCCATGCAAAGCAGCCACACAGGCGATCTCACCGAACCCCACAAAGGATCCCGATTCCGTGCGCACATTAAAAGCCACAATGCCTCCCTGGCGGGATTTATCCTGGTAGCCCACTTTATTATACAGCTGGATGAGGGGTTCGCCATTGGGATGTTTTAGCTGCTTCAGTTCGTTCTCCAGGTACCTGGCCAAGCCAAAAACGTGCCTGAATATGGTAATATTTGTATTTATATATTTTATTATGATAAAATAATCCAATACATACCTCGAAATCCTCTCCATGGTGCCATACTCCCCCGTTTTGGGCACTAATCTCTCCAGCGTGCGAAAGCCCTCAAGCAATCCCACAATGGCAAGGAATGGCAGAGTGCCATCCTCGTAGCGCTGGTGGAAGGATTCCCTTAGCTGATGATCCATGGCATGAGGATATGCATAATTGATGGTACCGCCGCCAAAAAATCGACGCTTTCCGAAGGCCTCGGCTCCTCGTCGACTGACCAACAAGGCACCCACTCCCGTGGGATAACCGAAGATCTTGTAGAAACTAAGGCACACATAGTCTGGACGGTATTTCTGCAGATCCAAGGGACTGGTGGCCACAAAAGAGGCGGCATCTAGGCAGATATAGTAATCATTCTGGGTGCTTTCTTCTTTCTCTCTTCTAGAACCCCAAATTTGTTTTCCCGGCTTGGATAAGCCACCGTTTTGGATTGATCCAATGGCATCCAGGGGAATTTTATACCCACTAAAGTTGCACTGGGCGGAGAAGGTCACAAGGGAGTTCCCAGTTTTCTCGGATTGCTTTCGAACTCCGTTTTCTTTGGCCAGTCTGCCAGAGATTTCATTCTCCCTCAGCATATATATACCATTTGCCTGGACCCTTTCTCGCATTCCCAACACTGAGGTGTGGTTCTCCTGGCAGAAGTGGAAGTCTCCCGATGACCCGAAATCGAAGTTATCCGCCACTAGGGACAAAGCAGCTGTGGCATTCGCCGTGAAGATCACATGGTAATCCTCGGCAGTGGTGTTGAAGAATTCCAGTACCCTAAAAAGATTAACAATAATAATATATTTTATGGATTTATATACTTTTTACTTACAATTTTTATGAACTATACCAAAATGCTTAACCGATGATGAGCTTTTGGGTAATTCCTTTTTTTATATTATACTAATCTTCTTTGATAATATTTTATCAACGTAGAGAACAGATTTTAAACTTTTAATATTTTATCTTCAAAGAACTACGATTGTTTTTATACTTAATAATTTATAATCATACTCAATTTGTGTGAAAACGTTTAAACGATTTTATAAATAGATACATAACTGGTTTTTAACAGTTCTTTGTGGATTGTTTAAACTTGATTATTTAATATTAAAAAAAGTATATAACGTAATATAGCATAAATTTCCTCCTTATTTAGTATTTAAACTGACAGCTTTTAAGAAAATAAACAATAAATGTTTATGTTATAATCTACGCTCTTCTTTCTTGTTTACGGCCTATTGCCTTGGAACTTCAGAACCAAATTCTATACATTTTATAAGCCCCCCGCAAGGGCAACCCAATGACAATGGAATTGTTATTAAATATTATTATTCTAATAACATGATTTACGGACATGGATGAACTCACTTGAATCGTACTTGGTCCACGAAATCACCGGTGAGGCGACAGGTGTGCGGATTGCAGAACACATTCCGCTGCAGTTCTTCCGCGGTGGCTTTCACCTGGTTTTCGGCATATAGAGTAGTGCCTGCATGATCCAGGTAAACACTCCTGTTCTCTGTTTGATATACATGTGTATAATTAATGCCGTTATCTGTTTACAGTAGGTATTTCACCATGATTTCCACTTACTGGCCAATCTAGAGAATTCCGCGTCTATTTTCGATTGCTCCGATGCGGAGAATTCCGGGTGATATGAAGACATGTTGGGAACTATTTGAGTTGAGTGGGAATCGGGCTTTATTTATTTGCCGCCGGCCTGCAATCAATCGCCGCATTTGTTGCGCCATACTCTTTCTAAGAACGATATACGATAGTATACATTAGCTATCATGTTCGTTCTATTGATATTACTGCTTTGTGTTTTAGATATATGTAGGCCAAACTATCTTTGAGATTTTCATTAGTTTTATAACTTTCTTGTAGATAAGATAAAATCTATAATGATTTGCCTCATTTTTCAATATCATACATTTATGTATTTAATCTATGTAAACAATGCATTCATAAATACTACATCTAATGTTCAGGTTTTATTTATATTATTTACATATTAATCGAATACAAGTCAGACTTAAATTAATTTCATTCAATTATATTTGCATTTACTTATTAAGAAATAAATTTCCATTTGAAGATATGATAAGATATTCGACCAATATCAAATATCTTAGGGTATTTAAAAGTGTTATGAAAATTTAATCACATTTTGGAACATATGGTATAAACAGTGTTGGTTAACGATTGCCGTATTTAACATTTAAATTTTCTACAGTAAATTTATAAATCATTAACATAAAAGTAACAAACCTTTAATAAGAAATGACTTATGAAATTTTCAAAATATAATTATGTTTTCATAGTTAGTTTTTAAGAACCTGTTTAATCGGTAATCAGCTGATTTATCGATATCGATTTATGTCGATATCAGCCTGCGTTGCTGTTCAAAGTAATTTCACAAGTGTTTTTTAAATTTTTTTGGTTTACTCCATTATTTGACTGCAAAATGGAGAAATTCGTGCAGGACACGCTGTCCAAGTGTCTAGACTGTGTGGTCACGGATCAGATGATGTCGTAAGTGGCGGGTATATCCAAATAAATTGATTTGAAATTAAGCAATTCTTTTGCAGAGCCATATTGAACATCAAAGATGACTATGAATTCGACAGTTACTTTGGCAACTTGTTGAGCGAGGATAATGAGGAGCATCGCATGTTTCTGCTGAATTGCCGCCGCATGTTATTGAGTGGGAAACAGCCGCGAAACAATGGCAAAAGTCGTTCGCCCATCAAACAAATGCCGCTCACATCGCCGGCCAAGGGCCCAAATCAAAATCCTTCCCAAGGGGCCAAGGGAAAATCAGGGAAGTACGTCAATCTATATGCCAGCGATGGCCGAGTCCAAGGAGACACTATACTGTTGAAGGGCCGAAGGCATTGCGATTGCCAGGCAGCCCAGCACAAGCTGATCAACAATTGCCTGGGGTGCGGTAGAATCGTCTGCGAACAGGAGGGCAGCGGCCCCTGTTTGTGCTGCGGTGATCCTGTGTACACGCCCGAGGAGGAGCAGCAGCTGGCCAAGGTGGCCAGGGAGAAGGGCGGCTCGAAGAGCGCTCCAAAACAGGGCAAGAAGTCCGGAAAGGAAAACGCCAAGGAATCCTCCAAGGAGGGGTTGGACAAGGCCCTGGCCCAAAGGGATCGTCTCCTGGAATACGACAAAAATAGTGAGAAGAGGACAACGGTTATTGACGATGAGCTGGATTACTTCCAGGTGGGTTCTATAATTATACATAAAATGGGAAATCTGGGAAAGAAATAAGAATCTTCTATTAAGGCATTCACAAAATAACCATTTTCAGGAAAATTCCGTTTGGCTCAGCGATGTGGAGCGCGAGAAGTACGAAAAGCTGAAGAGCGAAATGCAGGAGATGAAGCACGGCAGCCGGCTGAAGCGCAAGATCCGCGTGGACTTTGCTGGCCGGGAATTGCCAGAGGAGCCAACCATTTCCAAGGAGTACGAACAGCAAGTAATAAGTGAACTGGCGGCGGTTTCCAAATCGTCAGGTGGCGCATCTAACTGGAGTTCATCTTCGATCACTGGCCACTCAGCTTTGGCTCTCGCACCTAACTTGGACATGGCCAAGCCGCCGGTATACAAGGCCAGCAAGGAATCTAAGAGTTGGCCAGCTCCCACAGCTGCCAGCGATGGGCTGGAAAGGATCTACAATCGAGTGCAGGATAAAGAACTGCTGGAAATGCAGGACATGCGACAGTGCTTGTCGATGCACCAACCATGGGCTTCGCTGCTAGTGGCTGGCATCAAAAAGTGTGTAGCTGTTTAGTCAGTTTTCAAGATTTCTTATAATTAATACTTTTTTTTCCCAAAAGGCACGAAGGACGAGTGTGGTACAGTGAACATCGTGGAAGATTGTGGATAGCTTCCACCTCCAAGGAACCGCACGCCGAGGACATTGCCCAAATGGAGGGATTCTACAAGGTGCTCTACGGGGGTAAGTTTATACTATTATACAACAAAGATAAATTTTAACTTTTAATATATTTTCCAGACCCTGATATCAAGTTCCCCACTCATTATCCTACTAGCAGCTTGCTAGGCTGCGTCCACGTGGACAGTTGCCTGCCACAGGAGGAGTACAGGGATGCATATCCCAATGGAGAATCGGAAAGCCCCTATGTTTTTGTCTGCACCAAGCCAGAGCAACTGAATATCCTGCTCCCGGTTCAAGGCGATCACAAGATATGTACGTGGCTTAAAGACCGCCAATTTTAGTTTCTTGTATTAATATCCTTTAATTTCCAGATGAACTCCCGCTTAAAACCCACACGGCCGCCTGCAAGACACTGCTTAGAGCTAGAGCTAACAAGGGTTAAGCCTTGGGTTCATTTTCAAACACATTCTTATTAGTTTACTGTCAGAATCGCTTTTCTGATTAGAAAATCTTCAAAAATTGTGAATAATTCAAATTTCTCAAAGAAATAAAGTTTAATTTATGAATGAAGAGTATATAACTGGTGTTATCGTTGAAAAAAGGTATAAATATTATTTATTCAATATATCTTGTAATTTAATTATATTTTTTCAAGTGTAACGATAAACTCCCGGTGTCGAAACGATAGCGATACTTTTGTGACAGCTGTTTTTTGTTTTGATTACTTTTATGTAATGGTGAAAGTGGAGGTAGAATACTGGTAAGAGGCATCGCTTTCAGCCACAATTATGGTGAATAACAGTACTTAACCCTCCTGCAGTGGCGTCTGCAACTTCAGGGGACAGTGCCAATTGCTGCGCGAATTCTTGCTGGCCTCGTCGTCCGATTTGGACATAACATGCCGCCAAGGACGCCGAGGAGCCTTCGAAGTGACAATTGATGGGCAGCTGGTGCATTCAAAGCTCTCCTGCCTGGCATTTCCAGAGCATGCCAGTGTCCTGACCCAAGTTCAAAAGGCCGAACGTGGAGAGCCTGTGGAAAAGGTCCAGGAGCAGCCCATCAAGGATTGCAGCGTGATGTGATGGGTGGATATATATTTGTCTTAAACTAAAGATTCTACCAAATATGTAACCCTTAAATATAACTGTGATACGAAACTTCGTGTAGAAATCAGACTTATAAAGTTGACTACTCCAAAAATGATCCAGGTCTTCGACTGGCAAAAATGTGACTTAATTAGTTTATGAAACAAAAAGGATATGTATAGCAGAAATTAAAGATACAAGGAGTATCTTCACCAATTAAGGATCTTTCAAATGATAATGAGCGATTACAAATCGTATAAACTAGAGACTTTTTTCGACGATTTATGTTCTTACACTTTATTTCGACATAACAAAGGCTACAAAAAAAAAGAAGTTTCAGGTCATCCACGGTAAGTTCTACACATCGCCAGCCAACCTTTCACCGCCTGTAGCGATATCGCTTGAAGTGGAACCACAGCTGGAAGATGTTGTTGTGGAACTGACAGCGGAATCCCCGCTTGTAGCTAAACTCCCACTCCCGGTTGACGATCTTGAAGGCAATATCCTCGTACGGCGGTCCGGTGTGGAAGCGCAGCACAGCAAAGTCCCCGTTGTCGGCACAAGGTGTGAGGAAGTACTGCGGTGTCTGCGACTTATCCATCAAATCCGGATAGAATATGTTGAATTTATAGCCTTGCACGATCTTGGGCGGTGGATTGTCCATGTCATAATGCGTCTGGTTGTATTTGTTCCACTCGAAACCGGTGTGCACGCGATTGAAGTAGCGCGGCTTGCGGGGACGGTATTTGTCGGTGGCCAGTTGAGGCACTGCATCAAGGGTTGTCTCCACACTGAACTCCGCCTCGTCACCCTGCATTCCCTTCCTGGCTTCGTTGCGCATCCGCAGCTCCTGCGGCGTCAAGTTAGTGGTGTCTACGCGTTCTGGGTGAAGGATAAGCAGACGCGCTCTCTGCGTCCGCCGCTCATCATCCTCCTCCTCGTAAAGGGCTCCATCTGTCTCCGGCTCGTCGTTGCCTTCGGATTGCACTCGTCTGCCAGTGAAATCCTCTTCGCGTATGTAGCGCGGACTATAGTTTCCTGCTTGGTAAAGGCGCACTGCATCGCGCAGCTCCCTGAGGGGATCATCTTCTTCCACTGGTGAGCTCTCCCCATTCTCAGGGACGTCAATGTCTTGGGTTTCCATCTGCTCTTCTTTGACTTGCGATGCCGTCTCCTCCTGCGTCGCATCATCGTCATTCTCCCGCTTTAAAAGCAACAACTTCTCCCGTAACAAGGCCTGATGACGGTCCCGCAGACGAGCTCTCGCCATGTGAGCCTTGAGTTGCGAAAGCAGGCTCTCCCAGTAGCTGATGTCGACGCCGTCCGCCCGTCCACTTATTTTGGCCTCGATGCGCTGCCTCATCTCCTCTAGCTGCTGGGCGTTCTTACCCTTGAAGATATCCGCCACATCCTTGACGACAGCCTGGTGAATGCCATCCCTTCGCTGATTCATCGAACTGCTTTCCGCATTCAGCTTCTGTTGCCGCTGCAGTTCATCTTGCACAATGGTGATCATGTCGTTCCAGAAATCTATGTGCTTTCCTTGCTCCAGCTCTTCGTAGACCTTTATATCCACCAGTAGGTCCTCCAGCTCTTCCATGGGCAGGCCGTTTAGCAGAACATAGGGCTCATGCATTTGCATTTCGAGAGAATCCTCGAGTGGCGCATTTCCAGCGGCCACATATTGAGCGAGGAGATCAATGGGTTTGGCCCGGCCATCGCGGATGCGAATCTCACTGCGCAAGCGAGCCTGTTCCAGGTGAAACTGATCCTCCTGGCGCTGCCACTCGCGGAACTGTACTGCTTCTTTGGCCCGCTGCTGCATCATAAGATCATCTTCACGCACCTGCCGCTCCAGTTCCCTCTCCTGCCGCCGTTTCTTCACCTTTTCCAGCTCTCTGCGATTTTCCAGCTGCTTTTGCAGTGACAGAACCTCTACGGTTTTGGTGGAGAGATTGGATAAGCCTTCTACCTCCAGCTTCTTGCCCCAGTGGAATGTAGAGGTGAGATTAGAATCGCCAAAGGGGTTGTCCTCGTTGGAATACGTCTGGTATTCGTTGTCCCAGCCCATTCGCTCACGACGCCGCTGCTCCTTGGCCTGCTTTTCGCGCAGGCGACGGGCACGCTTCTCCTCGGGTGTTTCCTGGGCCTTCAGCTCTTCTTTTTTCCGTTGGCGTTCTTTTTGCTCGACAAGACGACGCGCCTCCAGGGTTTGGAGCAACTTCATAGAGCTTTTGGCCAACGGCGAGCGAGGGCCTCCGGACGCAGAGTTGGGTGACGAACTGGATGATGACGAGCTGGAGGATGAGGACCTGCGCCTCCTGCTCTTGTGCTCGCGTTTTCTGTCTCTGCTCTTGTCCTTCTCCCTGTGCCGATCACGCTCCTTATCCTTGTAGTCCCTGCGGTCGCGCTCCTTTTCCCGCTCACGATCGCGGTCCCGATCTCTGTTCCTGCTGCTTTTTAGATCCGGACTGCGATGATCTCGCCGCTCACGACTGCGGCTGCGATGGCGGGACTTGGATTTTTCTTTGGGCATTCTTCTTAAGGGGTTAAAGGGACGAAATGAGGAATTGTGAAATTGTTTATTATTTATCAACCCTAACCCGCTTCCGTATTTGGTCACACTCGTCAAAAAATGGGTAGAGTTACCAGATGATACCGAATGCTTTAAACCCAATTCTCTCATCCAGCCCTGGTATCCACCTAAATTTAAATGCAATACTTTTACAATTTACTTAGGTTATAAGTCTGTGTATTTAACATATCAGAACTATATATTTTCCGAAATTATGAAATTAAAAATATGATCATTGATAATTGATTTAATGTTATAATAAACGAATGAATCTTTATAGTTTTAAAAATAAAAAAATTTAAAAAATATATTAAATTAAAATTTAAAAATAAGGCAAATTGGATTGCATTTAAAGAATTTTTTATACAATTAATTTATTGACTCTTATAGAAGTTTTACTTTACATTGATTGTAAATTGTATATTTAAAATTCATTCTATAATCCATCGACTGCGAAAAATGTGCCCGCAATAATATATCTGGTAAATACCCTACTTGTGAAAGTACTACCATATTTATTGAAGTCATGGAAAAACAGACAAGCGGTAGGCGATAACAAATCGATTATTGCGGGCGGAAAAAGCGGCGGGCACACTGCGTGGATGCCTCAAGCTGTTTATTTAGTCGTCTCGAAACTCAAAAAAACGTAAATTTTTCTGAATTAACCGCGGTTACCGAAGACGGCTCGATGGTTTGACAGCGTTACTGCGAATCGGCGTTCGATTTAAGCGAAAATTATAAAAGTGGCAGGTGAAATAGTCGTATCCCCCTCTCGCTCGCACATACATCTCTTCCTTCGAGCGAAACAACAAAAACAACAGCAAGAAGCGGCTGAGGTGCGAGTGAGATGGTCAACCAAGGGGATAGGAGGAGAAAGGAGAAAAATCCAAATCAAAAGATTCATCCCTTTTTCTGCTTCCTCTCTTTTATCTTCTCCTTTCTCCCATTCCCCCATCAGCTGTGTTTCTCTTTTCTTCACGGTTCTTTCTTTTTTTTTTGTTTTTTTCTGTGATTTTTTTCGTACGGTTGTTTGGCCATCTAACGGTATTCCGTAATAAATGTTATTGTTGTCAGCCCGTTTTTTGTTGTTGCAAAATATTGCGTGTTTCCCTCCGCCCCCTCTCTCCGTTCATCTCTTCCCGTCTCTTTCTGGCCTGCAGTTCATGCAAGACAACGAAATCGTGATTTATTCTAGATCTCGAAAGTATTAAAAACGCAAATACACCGCAAATAGAACAAAGTGAATGTTGATGTTGACTTGAAAAAAATCATAATTTCAAGCTTAAGTGAGATCTAAAAATTAAAGATAAAGTGAAAAAATGAAAGCAAATATGAACACAGCTTAAAAACAAAATAATAATTTGAAAATATTTTTCAGATGTGATAAATAACTAAAATTAATATGCAAATAGACTGTATTTAAGTGCCGAAATGTGGCATTCCATAAAATCAAGTGCCCGTTCATTTGAATATTAAAAACTTACAAAATAAGTGGATACTAAAAACGAACCTTGAGTAAAGAGAACAAATACTGATATGATATACAGCTTTAAAAATATGTTTTTATCATTTATGTATACTTCGGGGAAAAACGATTCCATTTTAAACTTTTATCAAAGAAAAAAAATCTTGGTGATTAAAATTATAATAAATTATGCCAACGCACTAACTAACTAATAATTATGAGTGGACATATATTGTATATCATAATTTAAAACTGAGAAACTATCTAGACATTTTTGGACCTTAAATTCCAGTGTGCTGTGTGCAAATTAGAGTAGTTAATTAAAATGCTAAACGGGAAATTGCAATGCAAAATCACGATTTTTGCATTGCCACGCATAAACGCCTGTCTGTGTGTTTGCCACGTTTTGCAGGTGTGTGTTGCTGCTCTTCTTCTTTTGCCACGCAGCGACATCGCCTCGAATTACCTTTGTTTTTTGTTGGCACTTTTTGTCTGTGTTTTTTTTGTTCCTGCATTTCGTTTTCATGTCGTGTTCCTTTTTTAGGCGTATAGGTGTGTCCGAGTGTGTGTGTGAAAACAACCAAAAATAGCCAATAATAACAATAAAAATGCACTGCTGGCGAGAGAGCTTCAGAAGAGAGAGCGAGAGAAGAAGAGGTGAAAGAGAGAGCCGGCAAAAGTAAAACAGCTGAGTTTAGCCTATTAAAAAGATTATTTAAGTAAAAAAAGCTAGCATAAAAACATAAACAATACCTAAAATTGAATAAGAAATAAAAAAGAATGTCCGTGTTAATTATCTTCTGAAAATCCAGTGATTTGAAAGCCTTTAAAACTTAACAATTAATAAAAATAATCTAAAACAAAGTTGTATTAGCTTCCCCAATTTTATAAAAAATACTATTTAATATCTCTTCAATCACAATACAACAAGATCTAAAGCAAACAATCGAAAAGCTAACTAACTTCAAATTTTTCATTAAAAACGCAGCATAAACTTCATTACAAAAGCAACAAATAAAAGTCTCCCGCAAACAAACAAAACAACAAGACTCCTGGAAAACAGAAAACCAAACATTAAATGCCCGAGAAGACTACAGTGAAACAATAACAAACAACCCAAAACAATCAGTTCCATAGAGTTAAAAGATAACGACAGGATAAAGCCAACCAAATAAAACAACAACCACAAATCCATCATGTATCGCATCAGTCCAATTGGACGCAAATCGAACTTCCATTCGCGCGAGAAATGTCTGATTGGACTCGTCCTGGTAACGCTGTGCTTCCTCTGCTTCGGCGGCATCTTCCTGCTGCCGGATAACTTCGGCAGCGATCGCGTCCTGCGCGTCTACAAGCACTTCCAGAAGGCTGGCCCAGAGATCTTTATCCCGGCCCCTCCTCTTGCCGGCCACGCCCCCCATCGCAGCGAGGATCCGCACTACATAGGCGATCGACAGCGCTTGGAGCAAAAGATTCGGGCAGAGCTGGGCGATATGCTGGATGAACCACCGGCTGCAGGTGGTGGAGAGTCAGGCGGAGTGGGAGGTGGAGCTGGACAATTCCAGGCACTTGCTCAACAGGCTCAAGCCCCAGCTCCCGTTGCCGCTCTAGCGGATCAGCAGGAGGATCAGGAGGAGGGCCAGCACGCCGCCATTCCTGTTCTGGCCGCTCCAGTTCAGGGAGATAACGTCGCCAGTCAGGCCTCATCACACCCACAGAATCCTCCGCAGCACAACCAACAACAACAACTGCCATTAGGAGGCGGTGGCAACGATCAGGCGCCGGATACACTGGACGCCACGCTGGAGGAGCGACGTCAGAAGGTCAAAGAGGTAAGTGCTTTGCAATCGATATCTTTAAAGACACGTCTTGGGGTGGTTTATAGATCGATGTGATAAAGTACCGGTGTTTTTGTTATAATGAATTATCAACTTAATGTTTTGTATGGCAGGGGAAGGAAAAAATCAACTGAAAAACCAGCATTATGATAATGTAAACCGGATCTTATATCTTAACTGCATTACACTTTCTCAGGATAAAAATCTTATCTCTTTAATGCTATTTAAAGGAAAATCGTATCCATATCTCTTATTGGATTATTTAAGGATTATCAGAAAATATTGATATTAATATTTCTTGAAGTTTAGACTTTCATTTCATTAACAATATCTTAACATATTGATAAATAGCGATCTCGATACCGCTTTTGAGTGCCGGAAAATATTGAACTCCCGCTGGGGGTTATCGCTCTGTCTTTCCCAACTCAGCTCGATTTCGCACTCGTTTCTGTTATTTTTTCCGCGTCGCCTCTTTTTCATTGCTCTAATTTGGCTCTTATTTATTTTATTTCTCAGCCTGTGTCGTTTTTTTTTTCTTTTTGCTACTGGGCAACGTGGGCAATTATCAGCATTCCGCTATTTGTGTTTCCTCTGCTGTCGGCCGCATGCCTCCGACTTGGTCGCCCCTTGCTGGCCGCTTAACTTCCGCGACAATCAGTACCGACTAATTGTTTATGGAGACGACGTCGGTCCAACGCAAAGAATGTCGCCCCGACATGGTCTTTGCCAATTCGGTGAAGAGATTTTTTAGTAAAAGAGTTTATGGGTTCCGGAAATGTTACAAAACTTCAAAATGTAGTTATATTGGATTCGTTGTAACGTATGTGAAAGTTATAAAGAAAGGTTGCTGGTCGTGTAAAGTATATATGTCCAAGTCATGTTCGTGTGTCCATTTGTCCGTTTTTAAGAGTCAGAAAGCTAAAATCATATGCCATTAGTAGGTATTGAAATCAAAAACTAATAGAGTTTCTAAATAGATTCGGAAAAGCATGAGCTAGAATATTTGTATAACCCCGTTCCAACCAATTTCTCCACGAAGAACCCATTTCCCCAGTTGACTGAACGCATCCATAAATTCCATAACCAATTTGCAAGTCCCAGCTACGTATATCTTACGTGTCTAGTTTTTTGCTCTGCCTTGCTTTTGTTTCTGTTTGATTCCACTGACCCAGAATCTCTGTTTCTGGCCTCCGGCGGTGAATAGAAACCAAAACCAAAATCTGCGGACTAATCATTGAAATCAACGGGCAGCGGCGAAACTACTCAAATGTGAAGATCGCAGGGACAGCAGATAATACTGAATTAAAAAAAAAAAAGAGAAAAAAAACTAAAGAATCTAGAATCAAGCGCTGATCGTCGTCGTCATCATCATCGCCGCCTTCGCTTTTGTTTTAGCTTCGCCCGGGTTCCACATTATTTCTCGTTCTAATTTATGGCTCTCTGAATATGTGGAAATAAGAATTTGCGCCCAGTAACAAGAGGCAAATCAATTGAATTGATGTTTCTTGAGAATATCGGTGTGTCGTGACAGCTTAACCTATTTCCCCGGTGTGGGTTTTACTTTTAGCCAATTTGAATTCAAATTCAAGTGAATTGCATCCGAGATTCGATCGGTGAACGAACGAACCTCGAACCTCTGCCATTAATATCTAGTTTCGCTTTCAACTCTGGCTGGCCAGCACATAAAAAAGTTTTTCGAATACAAATATTTCAGCTCTTGGCTGCTGGCCTTGCCTGA